ACAAAAAACTATTAAATTACAATTAAATTTACATCATGATAAATAAAAGAAAATCAGGAAACACCCATAAAAGGTAAGATAGGACTAAAATATAGTAAGAAATCAGTTAAAACATTTACAAACAAAATGTTTAGATAAAATAAGTAGTTTTTTTTATTTTTTGTGTTTGGTTGAGAAAATAGTGACAAAGAAAACAGAAAATCTGTGACAAGGTTTTTTGCAGAAAGATTTAAACTACCTGAGAACCTCTAAAATATCAAATGTCTTTAGAAAAGCTCGTTGTATCTTAAAGTGCTGCCTGTCTGGTGCAGACTCACATTTGCAGGGTCCGATGTAGTCCAGGTGCAGCTTGTGGCCCTTCTTGGTCCCTTCCAGGGTGCATTTGGTGGCAAAGAAGTGGCAGGAGGTGTCGTAGGTCTTGTTGTCGGTGCCGCAGATCTGAAAACAGGAAAAGTTGTTTCACCCGACTCATCAACACGTGTTTCTAATGAATCCGTTACACCGATAACAGAATCAAAGTGGAGTGATGCTGAAGCTTACGTGCTCAAACTCCCCCTCGGCCGCGGGGCAGGTGGAGGGGTCCTGGCACACACACATGGGGGTGTTTCCCTCATCCACCTCACACACTTTGCCCTTCTTGCAGTGATAGTTCAGGCAGGGATCTGTGCAAAAGTAAAAATAAAAAATAATGAATGCAAAAGCTGAGCTAAAGGCAGCAACTTTCCTGGAGCAACAAGAACTGCGAAGCAGTTGTAACCGGGGTCCAAGCCCATTTATGCATGTCAGCTTTGGCTCGTGTCGTTTCCAGCATCCTGTCGACCTTGTGTACCAGAGGATTGTAGCACGATGGGGAGTTTTTATAATGTCTGTTTGAAGCTTTTTAGTTTAGAACAGTGATTCCCAACCTTTTTTGACTTGTGTACCCCCGTGAACCATTTTGTCACACCACTAGCACCCCCGCTATTATACAAAATGATGATTCTCCAAAACTATAATGTACAACAGCTGATTATTAAAGGAAACTTATTTATTTAAACCCCTAGAACATTTAGTTCTCAGGCATTTTATTCTTTTTAACTCAAAATAAACCTAAAGATAAAAACGTTGCCTTGAAAATGAATAAGTATTTAAATAAATAAAACAGGTGATGGCAGGTGAAGGAAGCAGCAGCAGAGTTGCCAAATGAGCAAATTCCACGAGAGTGCATATTTTATACAAGATTCCATTTTGTGTCAGTTTCATGATTTTGTTTGCATATTCCGCACTGCTGAAATCATAGGGCTCTACATATCCTAATCCTATTTTTATTTATTTKTTTAAACACCTGGGATATTTTTCCACGTGCCCCCTGTAATATGCTCATGTAACCCAAGGGGTACACTTACACCTGGTTGGGAAACACTGGTCTAGAAGACCTGAAATGTTTGCGTSAAACTAAAATAAAAAATAAAAATCAAAGAGCAGATGTTTGTTAAATTATAGCCTGAAAATAAAAGATGAAGGAAATTATTGGTTGGAATACAGTTAAAGCTAAAAATCTAAATAAAATTCATAAAACTTTATTTAAAAATAAAACAATCCTGATCTTTTGGTTTGGTTCAGTGTTTAAAGCAGAGATCTAAATAAACGGCAGGACGTTTTAGTCCTCTGTTGGTTTTGGACGGTTGTTGCTGTTTGGGTTTGTCTGCGGCTCAGCTGCCTTCTCATGTTGGGTGGAACCTGTAATCACAGCTGTCTGCTCACAGAACCAGGCGCTCTGTCATTACGCCTCTATTGCTCAAATAAACCCAGAAACACGAAGCTAAATCAAACACTTTGAGGCGTCTGCAGCCAGCGCACGTCAGATTTTCAGACATGTCAGTAAAGTTGGGTTTTAAACCATCGTATTGTGGACTTTTCCTCCCTGCGGGAAGATTTAATTCAATCTTTGAAATGTTTTTAAAAAGTTTGAAGGATTTATGGCTTAATTTTAGAGACATAAAGCATAAAATAAATCACTTTAGAGGAAGATTTAAACCTTTCAACGCATTAAAATGTTGATATGTTTGTGTTGAGTTGAGCTGCTTCCTGTGAACTCACTCTCAGCAGCAACATCTTCAACCACGTCGATGGCCTCGTCGAACTCTCCAACCTCCACCTGCACTGGGTTGGTGCCCACCTCAGTCTCCTGGGGAACAGAGGGTCGGAGGTCAGAGTCTGAGCAGAAATAAGAAACGAACACACCGTCCCCCTGATCTGTTAAAGCGTTCAGCTCCTGCACAGCTTCAACCCAAACCACCTAACTACCTGTGGTTGTTCTGAAATTAGTCCACCCTGCAGTCCAAGCCCCCGCCTGGCAGACCACAAYATCCAGCAATAAGAGGCAGCTGGGTCCACATGTGGTGAAACCATAAAAAATAAAAAAATAAAAACTCTAAAGGCATCTTGACCAAATCCTCTGTGGCTAAAATTATCAGGAATCTCTGGTCCCTCTGGACCTCTGGAGCAGAGAACCAGAAAAYGTTCTTCCTCTCTTTCTTAATTTTTAATTTTCAGTGTTCATTGACAATGCAATGCACACTATTGTGATTCGTTTCCCATCYAAGTCATCTCCACTTTGGCACGCTTCTCCTCCTGCATACTTTGTCCTAGAGCTGCCATCGTAATTTGTTTCTGTAAAGCTCCTGTGCCAAATGATGGCTATGCC